TTTGTTATCTCAGTTGTACCTTAGAATCACCTGAGGATCTTTTGAAGCAATACCAGTGTCTCAGATCAAATAAATCAGAGGATGGGGCTTGGACATCAGTATTTTTTTTAAACTCTCTCTGGGTGATTTTAATGTGCAGCCAAGGTTGAGAACCTTGGGACAAGAAGTTAAAACAAGTAATTATAACAGCAGGTAAAGGAGTTAGGAAAGAAGTGTTTCTCAGATGAGGTGATATTTATGTTGGGTCTGTTTGTCCCTATGATCCATCAAGCCCAGAAAAATGCTAAGATTTCTTCCCCTTCCAAATTTCCAACACAGCGTCTCTTCTCTAGGGAGTATGAAGACCTGCTTCTCCCACACTGCTTCTATAGACTCTTCCAAGTTATAAATCTCAAGGACTGAAAGGGGCATCAGTGAGGCTTCAGAGTCCTAAAGTCACACCTCCCTGGAGGGTAAGATTCAATACCTCAGTCTGGAGCAAGACTGGAATAAAAGGCAGAACAGAGACCTAGTGATTCTCAAATGGATGAATTGGCTAATAGTGTCCACTTTTCTTCACTTTGGGAGTTCTTCACATGTGATCATATTAAAGGTGTGTGGTTTCAGATTTAATCATGACTGGCATGATCTGAGAAGTCAAAGCATCATTTTTATCTGCCACAAGTTTCAATCATGTTCACACTGAGTTCTGTTAACTTACACTCACTTTATCTTATGAACCTGACCCTCCAATCCCAACTAAGTTGGAGGAACAATTTTCACCTTCCTTTTGTAACTAATACAAAAAATTGTAATGCCAAGAGAGTATCTGTCGTAAGGGATCTGTCTTTAAAATACTGTACTTCAGTCCCATCGGATCAGAATTTTTTAAGGCCTCTTCTTCAAAACTACTGAAAGGTATGTTAGAAAAACAATTTGACACTTAATTAGAATAAAAACCAAAGTCCTAAGATCTTTTGTAGAGGAAAGAGCACTTTGAAACTAAAGTTCTAATGGCAATCTGCCAGGAGCTGCACGCATGAAACTGGACAAGCCATTCTCTAAGCATCTGTAAAATGAAGTGGTCAGGCTGATGTCGTTAAAAGAAACTTTTCCATGTTAACATTTTGTCCTACTTTACATTCAACACATTGACAATAGTTTCCAAATGCATCCAAGGCAAGCAAGAGACGATCCTGAGGTAAGAAAAAGCCAAGCCTCCCCCTAGTGCTTTCAACATTTGTTTAGTGATTTCCACATTAAAAATCCTTTGAGGTTTGATCTCACCACCACCACCTTTGGACAGGGCCTTTTTTTGTCTAAGTATATTAGCACCAAGGCAGTTCTACCCTGACCAAGTTCTGAAGAATCCTGGAAGATTACATCTATATAACTTTTATGAGTATAGGCAGCCCATATGGACTTTATTGGTCCCTAGAAACTTCTTCCTACACAACTACGCTCATTTAAATGAAAGAGCTACAGCTCACGTGCTTTATTTCTCTGTGTAAGGTAGGCTGTATGTGAATAAAAGGAAGGGGCTGCAAGGCAGTAGAAGGCAACATACAAAAGGTACTGTTAAAATTACTGTTTTCTGTCTCATCATACTTATTCAGGGACTATAAAGCAATGAATAAAAAGGATACGTGAGTAGAATGACAGGGTGGGTCAGTTCTAAAGACAGTCATGCTTTCAGGCCCACCACCAGTGGGTCCAACAGGTGTATTCAATACAACTGCATTTACAGGTCTAACAGAGCTGGAAAGAATTTATGACCTCCATTGCCTGCGTAAACAAACAAAAAAAAGGTGCTTCTGGGGGAACATAAACTTTCCCTTCACATCTATATATTTCATAGGCCCTTCTCTCATATTAATAAGATTTTAGATATTACCTATAGGATCTCTAAAACCCTTGCTATATGTATTTTTGTGGCCAGGTACTTATAAAGCCAAAGACTTGTCAAGGAACCAATTGGACAGAAAGGGAACTTAACGTGCATTTGATCAGCATCATGAATTATCTTATTAAACCAACCCAGGGTATGAATGACGGCAGGTCCAAAGGAGAACTAAAATCACCCACATCTTCCCCAAAGCTGAGAAGGGCCACAAAGGACCTAACTGATTATGAGGTTAGAAATTATGTTTTCAAGCTCCCATCTGGAGGCATGTTTGTTTCTTACCGTGTGAGTTTGCTCCTGAGTTCTTCAATGGTCTGTTCTGAAAGGGTGAGACTGACTGAAACAAATGAATCTGTCTTCAGGACTTAAAAAAAAATCATTGAAAACAATGTAGGGATATAAATGTCTGTGCCCACAGCCAAGATAAAAAATGCAAAGTCTGGGCCACCTTGCCTTTAATTTTCTAACTGCTGTTTTGTAAGGCTGTGTCATGCTTCTCAGTTCAAACACGCTTTGGCTCTTTATTATTCATGGACCTTTTTCCCAGTCAGTGGTGTTGAATAATAAAACAGCCCAGGATCAAATGGGCCAATTCTCCACGCCTGACACCAACTGCTACTGTTCGCTGGGCTCTGCCAAGCGTTGCCTCTGATAATGAGTGGGATTTGGTTAAACAGTAAATTAATGAATAATGAAATATCCAGGTTGATCAGTTAGAGAGCACGCTTGCTTTGCCCTGGGCTAAACGCTTGGGGCAGAAATTACTCTCAAAAGGCACTTGCCTGGCTGCTGGTCTGGATAACTATTTTACAGCCTATTGCTTGACAGAATGCTGGGGAGGGGGGAACCAGTGGGGGAGAGGAAAGGAAGAAGGACAGAGTTATTAACAGCAAAAAAAAAAAAAAAATGAGAGAGAGAGAGAGGAAGAATAACCTAGTTATCACCTTGTAGGTTTCTAAACTGCATGTGTGATAACAAAGTCACAAATATGATCTGGAGAAGTCTGAGTTGTAAAATTCCCAACACATGTTTAACATCAAGGAGGAATGATGAATGAAAACAGTCTTCTGTGTGTGCCTGTGCACATATGAGACTAAACGCAGAACGACTGCCCTGCAGACGCATGTTCCTGGGTACGCGTTCGAGTGAGGACATGCAGAGAAGCCATCCAGTGTCTAGCTGACAGGAAAACAATACCCTCATTTGAAGGCTTCATCCTCTGATTCTTAGACATACCCCTTGTATGAACTTTAGAATATTAAAAATAGGACTTTTCCAAAAACCTCCATTAGGAAAAACGTTTCACTGCAACTGAGATTCTATATCTGTGTATGTGCATGTGTGTGTAGTTTGTCACTTTTCAACTTTAACTTCACGCAAGTCTTAAATTGTTATGTAAGTTTATGCATGTATTAGTAATAGGTTTGCCCATTCAAGATCAGATACGTGTCCTTTACAAGAAACAAGCTTTGAATCATCAAAAACCCACAGCAGAGTGCCACAGGGACACCACATACTGAGAAAAACGTGTTATTTCACTCGATATTTGTTTTGGAAATAAATTTCTCTAATTGGTTATCTCTGGAATATCTTATTCTTTCAGAACTTGAGCCCCTTTCAAATGGCCTCAGGATGGGTGGACTTTGAAGTTTTACACAGTGGAAGCTGAAATACTTCTCAATAAATTAACATGTGGTGGGTGTTTGTGTTTTGTCAAGTTGTTTGGGTTTGGTTTGGCTTTAGTTTGTTCTTAGGTGCAAGAGAGAGAAGGGCTTTCACAAAAGTAGGAGGAAAGTGAAGATGTATTCAGGAACTTCATTAACTGTCCTCACAGCTGGAAGTAAACTCAGAAAAGTGCCGGGGAGAGGTGGACATTATCTTCTTCTGGTTCAGAGGTGACAAATGATAGGACTGTAAGAAAAAACTGCCCACAGCCTCATGGAGAAAGGAGCAATATGAATCACCTACAGCTTCAGTGTACACGATTACCACACTCCACTCCTAAGGGCCTACAAAGCAACAAGGCCTAGCGGCTGCTACTCCCCTAGTTTCACCCTGCAGACTAGTATCATAAAGTTTTTACCTCTCCACACCAGTATCCAAACCCCTCCCCCAAGAAAAAATAAAATGCTCTAATTGTCTTTATTACTTTCAGGCACTAGCCACCAAACACAGATGTTCACTATTGAGAATTAAAGGAAGGGTAAAGGTCACAGAGACCCAGATCAGCTTGATCCTTCTTTGGACTATTTGACCCCATTGTCTAGAATGGCCCTTATCTTTGAAGAAGAAAAGAATATTTATATTGCACATAAAAGCAAATGAAATCATTCAGTGGGCCCATTTCGTTGGTAGGGCTCAGGCCTGTGCCGCACCCACCCCTTCCCTAACCCTAACCCTAACCCCTTCTTAAAAACAGCAAAACGGAAAGTGCGTGAAACAACCCATAAAACGAGTCAACTGTACTTCTGCCTCAAATCTTGGTAGTTTCCTATCTTTAGGAATCTCTGGTCAAAAGAATTCTCTTGAATGCAAGAGCCCTAAAACCTAAAAAGCAAACAAACAACAAAAAAACCTTTCCTGGGTTCCTTAACACATAGGACTCCCTTGGAAAAGAAAATTCACACTGGTAAATGTTTTTTTGTGGATGTTTTTGTAGTCCTGCTATTAGGGAATTCCCATATTGTGTGTGTGTGTGTGTGTGTGTGTGTGTGTGTGTGTGAGAGAGAGAGAGAGAGAGAGAGATAAAGCCCTAATTACAACCCCCCAAAAAGGTCTACATACCTTGTTTCTGGTAGAATCATTTATCAATGAGGATAAGATATACACAAAATTCAACCTGGTCCAAGATTGATACTTTGATCTCAAAGTTAGCACTAGCACCTTTTTTGGGGGGCGGCAGCGGCGGGGGTTTTTGGTTAATGGAGCACTAAGATTTGGTTTGGTTTTACACTTGTTTTCTCTGCATTGATTGGCATTTTCCCAGCCATTTTGTACAACCCCTCCCCACCCCTTCCCAAACCTACAAGGGTGGACCGTTTCCCAGTAAAATCCACTGCTGTGTAGAAGCTATCTAATATCCTGTTTCCTTAGAAACTCAGATGATGGTCGCACTCACTTTGCCCACTTGAACAGCCACCGGCGCTTCCAGGTCATCAGGTGTTTCCGAGCTGCCCGGCCTCTACTTGCGCATCCGGACGCCAGGTTCTAGCGTTCAGGACCTGATGGTTCACGCAGGGAGCGCTATAACTCATTGGGGTGACTTGTGTCCGATTTGGGTCCGAGTTTCCCCAAAGACTTGCAAGCGTCCCTTCCACGCCTCTGTACCCCAGTGCTCACGTGCCAGCTTTTCTCCAGTCATTTGATAAATGTCTGTACAAGAAGGAACATTTGACTGTTCCAGAGGTCAGATTCTGACCTTCCCAGAATATTCTACGCAAACACGCCCTGGACGTGTCCTCCTCCCGGTAAAACGCGTGGGCTAATGACAGCTGACAGCCACATCCTTGAAACGTTTGCTAATACGTCAGCGAACAGGTACGTCCCGGACGTTGAGTGGTGGTCCAGACACAGATGACTGCCAGGCCTGCCCTCCGAGCGGCCTGGACAGGTCACGCTTTGCTAAGTCCATTGGCTATTATGCTGCTTTTTAAAAATTTTAAAGAGCATTTTTATGCAGAGGCCTCTCCCGGCAGCATGTGTGACCCCTATTTGAGTCTGGACGCCTCTCGACTGAGTCAGCTCCAGAAGGCTGCAGCCCGTCCGAGAGAAGGGAAAAAGCGAAAAGCAGCAGAGTGGGAAAGAACAAATAGGTTCCGAACAAATGGGCCAAAAATCGCCGCTTGACCTTGCTAGTTTGAGACCAGCGGCAGCGTAGAACGTGTTGAACTTGTGTGACAAAAAGGCTCCCTCAATCTCAGCATAAACAGTTTGAAAAAAAAAGAAAAAGGTTGCCCACGCCGCAGCCGTTTGCAAACTTGACCTCCAGGGCGCGGAGCGAAAAGCCTGACGCGCCGACCGCGCCCTGGGTAGTCGCTAGGCCCGGAGTTACGCCCCGGGGCGCCGCGGCGCGTGCGTGCGTGCGCGTGCGTAGGCGTCTGCGCGTGCGCGCTCGTTGACACTCGGCCCTGCCACCCGGAGAGCGTGCCTAGTCGCGGGCAGGGGCGCCGCGTGCGTGCGGTCCGCGCGGGCAGGGGCGGCTTACGCGCGATACGTACGCACGCAGACTGGGCCAGGGGTGTGAATGGCTCAGCGCTGGTGCCTAGTCTCCGCGTTGCTGTCCGCGGCTGCGTCCTGGAAACGTGGCGGTGGGAGTGCTCCAACCTGTGACCTGAGGGAGGGACCCGTGCCAAGAAAGTGGACCCGGGGAGACGTTTGACTGAACTCGCCCTCAGGAAGCGCTGGGATTATTTATGAGGCCTGATTTAAAAGTAGTGGCTGCCAGGGATGTGAAAAAGGAGCTCACCCCAAGCTATGAGAGAAGTTATAGTCGTAAGAATGCTGTTTATGACGGTATAAATCAGTGTGGAGCTTGTGATGGGAAATAACGGAGAGCATGAGTTTGGGATAGACACAAGGAAACAAAGTCAAGAAGGAAAATTGAGTTTTCGCCCTCCGTGTTCTGCCCCCGCGTAGTTCCTCCTTTCCAAGGCGCCCACGATTCCTGCGGGGAAGCTGGGGAGGGGTGAGCCCACCCCGTGGCGGGGCGGGGCGGTTCGGGTCTTCCCCAAGTTGAAACGAAGCTTGTTAGAGGGCGAGGGAATACATGTAAATAAACAACTCAGAAGATTTATGGGAAGGAGTTCAACTTTATAGGACTGTATTTATAGAGCCATTGCTGGTTCACTTTTTAAATAGATTAATGGGAAGCTAAAATTAATGGACTTGCGAGCTGCACATTTAATTTCTGAGGCTTCGACATGACAGACAACCGCCTTCGAAGTCCACGCACGGAAGGCAGCCTGCGTCGGGAGTCATGAGCGCCCCCAAGAAGACACACGTCCCATCGGGCCAGTATATCTCTGGTGGCTCTAAGCTCTGGCTGCCCGGGGTCCCAGGGAAAGGACCGCATGGGGCTGTTTTTGCAAATGAAGAGAAACAATGTGGCCTCGTAAAAAAACAATCGGCTCTTCTTCCTCCTAGCATTATTTTTAATCAGGGCCCGTAAGCCGCTAATGCGGGCGAGCGAGCAGGTGGGCTTCTTGGCCACTGGAAGCCGCGCACCTGGGCTGGCTGCCTCCAGGTCACCTCCTCCAAGGTCACCCAGCGTCCCCGCGCTGGGCCTGTGGTCAGGGTCCACGGCCTAGCAGTTCCAGCTGCCGTTCTTTCCTTACTCCTTCTGCAGCCTGGTTAAGACAGTAACAAAAGGGCCGGCGAGGAGCTGTAACTAGCAGCCCAGGGCCATTTTGTTAGGCAAGGCTCTCTCTGGCTTCCTATCTTTCCTTCCCTCTCCTCAAGTTCCTTCCCCACATTCAGGCCCCTCAGGACCTTGAGTTTGGGGTGACTGTCTCAGATCCTTGTCAAATGGTGGTGGAAAGAGGAGGTGGTCTGGAATTTACCTATGGAATAATAGATGGAAGGTCTGTTTCTCCAGAGCTGGTGTTAACCCTTCAGTAGGAAAAGTTGCCATAGGATATGGAAATTACTCATCACCGCCTTTGTATAATCCTAGTGGTAACCAACCCCTCACTCTCCAAAAGGCAAATGAAAAGGAAACTCAATGTAAAACATTTGAGCCAGAGACAAAGGCATATACCTATTTTCTTTCTAGACAAATGGATTGCACGCCCTCTTAATCACACTTCCCTTGTGTATTTTTTTCTTCCTTCTACTTCCCTTCCCTTTTTGATTCACTCATTTATAATTCTAGCCATGATACCCCCCCCTTTTTAGTTAATAGGGAAGCCAAGAAGTGGAAAATCTCACATAAAGCAGATTCCATTGTCCTTTCTGTCTTTCCCTATAGGGAAGTCCAACTGGGAATGAGTCATCTGAAAAACAGAAAATTGATATGGGAGGCATATTATTAATTACCTGAGTGCCAACTATATGCTAAGCACTCTCCTAATCCAGGGTTTTCGAGATTTAACTTTGCCAGTTATCCTTAAATATATGCATGTTGCTGTTCCTGCTTTTTATAATTAAACTAGACAATGTTGGAAAGGACCTTAGGAGGCCCACATTTTACAGATAAAGACTTTGAGGTCCAAAGAGAAACAGTGACTCGTGCATACCGTTTAACAGCTTGGACGGATTTACTTTCCTAGCCTCAGGGAAGACACCCAAGCCTTGGGATGAAATACAGATTGAGAAGATGTTTGATCACTGCAGCCCATTAGGGCTGGGCTGCAGCCCATTAACCCAAATGAGAAAAGCTCTGGCTTCCCTGGGCATCTTCTGAGCCTAAGGTAGGAAACCTCCTAAGACAGCCTCTTTCCTCCTTTGGTCAAGGGAGCTTTTCCTCATTTGTTTATGGAAGGCCTTGCACTGCTGGTGAGGTCAGGGTTGGGTTCAGTCCTGAAATGAGCCAGTTAATTCCCCCAGATCCCAAGGTGTGGGGTGCAGGAGCCCATACCTGGCCCTGTGGGCTTCTGTCCTGCACCATCTCCGTCAAAGACATCATGGCAGAATGCCATCCCACCAGCAACATGAAGGGAGCATCATCTTTGACTTGGACCCAGAGGCCCTTCGTTCCTGGGACACGGACTCTTAATAACCTGGGAAGTAAGTAATTTGACAACCTCATTTTTTTAAAGGGCAATATAAACCAAGAGATGCAGTTAACGTGGGCTTTTATTGCAAATCCAGCTAGAAATAGAGAGAAGAGTGTCAATTTGGAATTTTAATGAATCAAAAACACCTTCTAGTGAAAACAAAAGTGTCCATTTTTTCTGGGAGGCAAAATTTATTGTATTTATTGTAAGGAAAACACTGCCTGTGTTTCAATGATTGAGGGGGGACAAAAAGAAAAAAAATTCTTGGCCATAACTTGTTTCTGTCTGTAGAATTAAACAACATCTATACTCAAGAAACTGAAGATGAAAACAACAAAAACACAACCATCTTTTTATTTATGTAAATCAGGTCAACACTGGACAATAAACCAATTTCTACCCATTACCATAACAGCTTGTCTATAAAGAACAGAGAAATTCAGATAGGATTCTACCTAGGGTCAAGCGGTTTGTTTTTTTTTTTTAACCACCCATTCACAGAGGTATAGATTCACAGATAAATAATCCCAAACTACCTGCTCACCATATTTACACATTCCCATTAAATTAAGCATAAATAAATATATACAAACTTAACATGGATACCCTCCAGAGCTCTTCTCGTGAAGAGTCAATAGATTGATATTTCTCGATTGTTGTCAAAAACAATGTTAGTGAATTAGAGACCAACTCAACAGAGGAGTCGATTTTGGCATTTCAAGAAGAATAGTGTTCATTCTACTTTTTAAAAGAAAACAAAACGAATTTTGTTATTTTTTTTTAACCTGATCATTTAACATACATCAGCACAGGAGGGGAAACACCGTTTGGGCTCTTGAGGCAACATCAGATGGTTTAAGGTTATTTCCTTTCCACAGAATGTATTACGCATACAGGATATCAAATGTGAGGACAAACTCCCTATAAACACTCTAAGTAGGGACGAGTTGCCCTTTTAAGTAAGGCTTTGTACCGGAGGAACAGTGTGTAGATAAGTTTGGGGTATTTCAGGTTTTCCATTCGACCGAAGTTTTCATAGGATATAAAATAGTTGCTTGAGAAAAAGTGGTTTCCTTGGCCAAAGAAAATAAAACAGCCAGGTCTTTGAAAGGTTCTTCAGTTCTTTATGTAGGGGTGGAGAAAGCTAAGGATATGGTGCCAGAGAGAAGTAAAAAAAAAAAAGCAAGCTAACTAGGGGAGAATCCTCACCCAGAACAGCCCTTTTTTTCTCTCTTTGCTTCCAGGAGAGCCACAATACGTGCAAGAGGAGGCAGGACTGGACAGAGAATGGTCAGGAGACCTTTAGAACCTCCAAAGGAACTTGCAAAGTGGGAAGTGCGAGGGCAGCGCTGCCACGTCCTGACTCTTGCTTTCTACCTTTAGCTCTTTTGGTTTGGGACCGGGCACTTAGGAGTGGGCACGCGGCTTGGATACAGTCTTAAGAGTGCAGGGGTGGGGTGGGGGGAGAGCTGCAACTCACCTGTTTAGTTTGGAAACAAGACTCAAAGGGGCTTGCTTTAAACGTTTCCCTTGACTTAAAAGGCAAACTCTTGAGTTAATCCCACTGTTTATTGATTTATGGGCCCAAGGAAACCAAATCTTTTAATAACTCAATTATCAGATAAACGTAGCAGGCCTGGCTAACGAAAGCAAGGGGGCGGGGGTCGTACAGGAAAGGAGAAGTGGGGGAGGGAGAGGGGGCAGTGGGTTCTCTCCACGTTGCGTGGAGGCGGGGTGCGGGGGAGAGATGCTAAGCGCTCTGCTCTGCCCGGGCGCCAAAGGAACGCCCGGAGGAGGGCGAAGGGCGACGAAGGAGCCTGCGTACCCCAGTAAGACAATTCCTACCCCATCACCCGCCTTTGGGAGCCTGAGGGTGGAGAGATTTCGTACCGGCAAAGGCGGGGGAAGCTTCCGATCCCCTGGACATTTCTAGGCCACTCGCCCTCGGGAAGCACGCGCCCGGGGCGGCCGCTGGCAGCAAGGGGCTCGGGCAGCGCTGAGACCCCTCCCGCCTGCAGCCCGCGGGGCGCCGCCCCATTACCTACTGGAGCACCGGGCTTTCTCGGTCGCCTTAGCCCTTAGGGTGAGACCGAGAGCGGGAAGGGCCCGCGCGGCCCGCGGCCCCTCCAGCGGCTGATTCTATGTCCTCAACACGACTGGGCGCGAGTGGCCCCCACGCTCTCGGGACCTGCACAGTAAGAGCAAGGCGCGTCCATCGCGTCTCTCGCACGTCACACGCGTGGGGCGCGTTGCCCTGCAAGGAAAGGAGACGATGGTTTTCAGTGCGGTTTCTCCCGGCCTTTGGCAATCAGAATACGTCTAATGCAAGCGGCCAGGCCCTCGGACAAAGGCGCAGGCTTCTGAGCTGGGAAGAGATGGAGTGTCTACACGCTCCCTGAGGTCTAGTTCCCAGCCTTTGCACTCCTGTCAACTCATCAATGGCTGAGCCCTGAACACCCAGAGGCCCCCAAAGAAGCTGACGTGGATGGGCGGGGGTCTGACATCAGCCATTGCTTGGGCCCTCCTGGTGGTCTGAAGCCAGCTCCCTAACTCAGCCCCCCCATAAAAATGTCAGTGCAAAACTCAGCACGTTCCCAAATCCGACCCTCTAACCTCCCTCCTCCCCAGGCCAAGGCCCATGGGGCAGCAGACCTGAGAGTCCCCGTGGGTCCTAACTGTAAATCCTGCAGAACAAACCTCTGGATCTTTATATTCAAGGGATGCTGCAAAGGTCCTAATGCCTACTTTGTTTAAAGAGATGCGTTCATGCACACTCTATTTAGAGACCTAGGTCATCCACTCCTTCGCCCCTGGGGATTTCCCACTGCTTTGGGGATGGTGGGAACAATGGGTTTCAGATCTTATTTCAAGATAATGCTCAGGTGAAGCCCAAGAAAGGAGCAGGGCTGCCAGAAGTGAGAGATATTAAATGTATGAAACTTTATCCACTGGGAATAGTCCCAGTGTATCCAGACAGTAACATTCAAAGCTGAAATACATCTCCTTTCACTTTGCATTATTTTACCATTATTGCCCAAAACAAGTGCACGTCTGGGAGGGGAAAAAACGCCTCATTCACAAAGCATCTTGTAAGAAAGCAATTGTTGCTGAAACACAGGAGCTTGCACCACCCCCCTCCCCGCGACCACTCGACCACTAGCAAAGCTGCTGCTTTCCCCACAATCACCAAAGAGCCCAAGGAAATGGAATCCACTTTAAAGGCAAGGGAATAATGTTAAAATATTGGGCTCCAAGAACACTTACTCCTCTCCCCTAAAATTCATTTAGCAGCTCCCCACTTCCCCGGAATTCTGTGTTGAGGTATCTGTTAGCAACTAGACTCAAAGCTGCTTCAATCTCTTATTGGCCACTTTCTAAATTATTCCCTTTGAGCTTCTTTAAAGAAGTGCACCTGCAGAATTCTGACACACAGGCTGTGATTAAAAAGGGATCGGAATTTTTTTTTCTCTGTACCTTATAGATTGTGTAGGAAGCCCAAGTCCTCTTTGAAGAAGCTCATAAACCATGCGGGCAAAGCTTTGGAAAACAGAAGAGAATGAAATGGTACATACCCCTCCGAAGGAATTACATACTAATCAACGTATTCATATTGTGTTTGGGTTTTACTATTGTTCTTAAAATTGGTAGATGACACATATGATAACAAATGCAAGATGCTCTGTAGGCAGATGCTGGCAAGGCTGGGAACTAGTAACGTTTCAGAAAAGAACTGATGAGGAGTCTGAATCAACTTATTGGTCCGGATTTTCCTCGGCCGGGCCGCGGGAGCCTCTCCTCGGCCAGCCGGCCGGAGAGCTGCAGCCACCGCCTGCGTCCCCGCGGGCCTCCCGCCCAACCCGCCCTCGCCCTCCCTAATTAAGCAAACGGCCCGGAGTTGGGTCCCCTTGAGTTAAGGACACAGGGCGGGGCGGGGGCGGGGTCACCAAGGGGACCACAACAGCGCACCAGAGGGCTAACCACACGCCTTTTCATCCCGGAAGATTCCCGTGACAGCCGGAGGGAGGCAGGGCAACGTAGAAAAAGGGTGGCTGGGAGAGGGGCGAGGTGAGATGGAAGGGCGGGGACTGCCAGAGAGTTTCCTAAAAATATATTAAAAATTTAAAAAGTTCGTGCGTCTCAGTCAACCAGCTCTCAAAGCACTGACACCGACACGGTTTCTCCGATTTTCTTCCAATAAGTTAGAGTTTTCTCACGTTTAGTCTTATGTTTATTTTCCAAAGGGAAAAAAATTCATGGTTTTCTTTTTATTATCAGTATTACTAAGCTCGAAAGAACCGAAGTGGAAAATCCGGACGGTTGTCTTCAAGTGTATCTTGAAATAGACACTGAGAACCGATACTGTTGCTCCGTGGTACGCCTCAAGTTTTTTTTTTTTTAAGTTATTTAGCTTTGTTTTTTTTTTAACTTTGATTGTATGTGTATTCTACCTAATATAATTCTTCCAAAGCCAATCCAATATTTTTAGAGCTAAAATTAAATTTTTTTCTGTTTTCCTTTTGTATTTAAAACATTTTTCCTTTTTTTTTTTTTTTTAAATTTTTCATTTCCTGTGTTTCTCCTCCTTGTCGCCAGTTTTACTACCTGGGCCTTCCCCAGACGTGTGCCTGTTAGTGGTGGTGTTGTTCAAGAACATCTTGTCCATGCCTTTGAGCGCCTCGGTGAGATAGTTCTGCAGGGCCGTGAGCGCGGCGCAAATGGCGGGGGCGCCGAAGCCGTGCGTGATGAGGCTGAAGTGCGTGAGGCAGCTCTGGATCCCCGGCTCCAGGATGGGGCTGGGCCGGCTGTTTCCGATCGGCGTCCGGTCCTGAGCCAGCAGATCCGTAAATTCTTTACAAAGTTGCCTGCAAAGGGGCGGGAGAGGAACAACAACAATAAGAAAGCAAAACAACAACAACAACAAAAAAAACCACCCTCAGTGTCGTTGTCATTGACATTCTAAAGGAGACGCTCACAAGAGCCCAGGGGCGCCCAGTCACGGGAGAGCCGGAGAGCGAGGCTAATGTGGGCGATTCCGCTCTGTTTCCTTTCCCAGCGTTCTCCCTTCTAGAGCAGCTGGGACTGGAAGGAAAGCGGGGGTGGGGATTTTAGGCACCCCTTCCATCCCAAAGCCTGGCCTCTCCCCCACCCCACCCCCGCCCATCTTTCCCCCTTCATTCCAGGACTGCATAAACCCCGCTTTGGGAAATGTGCTAGGCTTTAGCGTTTGATTTGCAATCTTCAGTAACTTTTAGCTCTTACCTGACAGTTCCTCTAAAAGCCCTCTCCCCCTCCTCTCCCCTGCCTCTCCAACCTCTTGGTGATCAGACTCAAAAAGCTGGGAAGGAGTTAGGGCCCTGGGCCACAAGCCTGTCCCTGGCACAGAAGCAGATTGCTGGAGCCTTGCGTGGCCCAGGGCAATCAACTGTTTATTCCAGGAGAGAATGCCGATTCCATTCAAAGCAAAAAGCTGTTTACCTGCAGCATTTGAGAAGGGAAGTATTCCCACCACCACCACACCTTTTTCCCTTCCTTTTAAAGCACAGGCTACCGAAGATCTTTGTACAACAATATTGTTGTCCATATAAAAGGATTCCCACATTGTTTAAATAAAACCTAAAGGTAGATGGTTAAGACTCCAGGGAGGGTAGATTTTTATTGTTGAAGGTTTTTATTTCAAGGCACTGACAATTTAGAGGAATCTCCCAGCCTTAGAAATCCTGCGTGCCTAACTATGGACTAAACTTATTTGAGAAATTTTTAATATAGGAGGTGGACAAAAGGATTTTAGCCCTGAAGGTCCAGTGGCTTGGTTCACCTTGTGGTCAGAAGTATGGCATCCCAAAGGTCATAGCCTTTCACAGGCTGGCAGACTTCTGCCAGCCTGCCTCCACCTGGTCTCCAGGGTGGTGAGAAAAGAAAAACTACAGAACGCCAATCACAGGCCTCCCTGGGATAGTCTGACACTTGGTGACACCTGGCCTGGCCAACAGGTGAATAGGGCAGATACCTGGAGGCCCACGTCAGTGACCCTGGGGCACCTTTTCCCAGGGGATTACTCCCAGGAGGAGAAATGGAATACCTCCTCCCCAGCCTGCAGCAGCCAGAAAAGGTGTTTGGTTTTAAGGCTGATGGGTAAAGGACGCTACCAGGAATCCTCTCACTACTCGTTTCTCTGTTCAAAATGCATACATACATCCTCCCAACCAGGAAGAAACGGGTAACAGTTCTGACCTAAATAGGGCAGTTCTTAAGTCAGACATACCTCAGGATCATCTGTGGGGTTCAAATACACACATCCAGGCCTCCACCCTCACTGATTCCCACTCAGGGAGCCTGGGGCTAGGTCCACAAATAATTACCTTGAAAATGCTCCCCAGCTGATTCTGATACTCCCCCCAGGTTAAGAAGTGCTGGCCTTAAGAGAAGCCACAAGCACTCCTTAGGGAAACCACAGAGTTGTTTGTGGAATCCTGTCATCTAATTTAGCCACTTTAGTTTTATTTTTTCCCCAAAGTACCTTTACTCTTTTATAAAGCACCAACAGTTCCCCTGCCACTAGCCACCAGGGCAAGGGGTAAGAGGGCGATTTACTGATAAAGATCTATTATATTGCTAGTTGGTACATCAGAGGAAAGCCTTCTAAAAAGACGGTGGGTGCCAGGTTTTGATCGTTGGAAGAGATGGCTAAAGGCTTTCCTGAAGTTTGTACTCATTACCAAAGTGCCAAAAAGGAAATGCTGAACTGAGGAGAACAAATGCTTAGAGTCAAACATTTTAAATCTTCAAAGCCCAAACCAGGGTCTGTAAGCAATTAAAGTTCTGGGACATTAATATTTTTTGACCCTGCGGAAAGGGGCAATCAAATTCCAATCACGTCTCAAAAACATCTGGACAAATTTGAGCAAATGATTTTTCAGCCTTCCATATATTTCTTTAAATTACGCTGTCAACGGAACAAACCGCGTCCTCCAGCACTAAATAAATGAGCGCCGCTGTTTGGGCCGCGCCTGCGAGAGAAACGTGCGGGCGCACGCAGCGCCGCCCACTGCAGGCCTGAGCCGGCCATAAAACACCAGCAATATGACATCGAAGCCAAAGACAGGAGTAAATCAAATAAATAGAAAACCCACTGTAAAAGTTCAAATGAGCTCTAGACCTAAATTTAGCCAGAGATTTACTATCTTCCCCTCTAGAGTTGTAGTAAATTTTACGTCTGTGGAAGATGCCAAACAGCAACGTTGGAAAGAGAGTAATTAGAGCTGCGGGTAGAGATGGGTGAACGTGGGTGACATATAGACACCCTGAGCGAGCACGCGTGGCTGTGTGGATAAGACAGGGAGATGTGGACCCCACGGAGAAATATGCATCCAGGGATGCAGGAAAGAACTGGAACAGGGACCCAACCGGAAAAGGTCTGCCTGCCATCCCCAGGGTTGGGGATGTGAATTGTAAAAAGCCTGGATTCGGATTAATAAAGCCATCCCTCTCAGAAACTAGGAAATAGAGAAAACACACAAATACGAAGCCCATAATCAACGCTGAGGGGTGGGGGCGGAGGGGGGCGGAGGGGGGAGGGTTCCCTAGCCAGCCATCCACGGGCTTTCCACCACTGAGCTGCTTCCCTGCCCCACCGAGGAAGTCTGCGCTGCCGCTCCCACCGCCTGCCCCCAAGCGAGGCGGCTCCGCAGGTTGGGAGTCTGGGATGAGGACCACGAGTCCAGGACACTCACTTGGTGGCCAGCAGCATATTCTTCCGGGAGTGCAGGTCACTGGGGTCCGTGTGCTGCCGGTTCAAATACTCAGAAACAGCTTTGGCGGGAAACTCCGTTTCGCAAATGTACCCAAAATCCCGAGCTAAGTGAACAGCCTCTCCTGAAAAGACAACCGCAGAGGAAATAATCAGCACCCAGTCCCTGACCATCCCAAGGGCAGGAGGCGTTCCCTGGTCAATTCTGTTATTATTTACAAAAGAGGCCAACTGTTAAGGGTTAATAGCAAAGATGAGACAGATGCCCAAACTAAACATGGTTCTCAGACCGTAATTGACGTTGATGGAACAAACTTTGTTCCTGCCACTCTTTCCAGCCTCTCCCTGATCATCCTTCCAGCCAAGTCCTAGCTAGACATCCCCTGAACAGCTTCAGGTCTCCCACACCCCATGCCTTTGTCTTAAGGGAAAGGTGGTCAGGCATTCAGGAACTACCTTACAATTGCACCTAGATAGACAGTGAGCTGGATAGTCAAGCCAGAGTCCCCCTTTCTTTTTTAAAGCATCTGTTACACCTGCTTTAAATAAAATTTAAAAGTCTTCCTATCTTTTGTATATTCCTATAATAACTAATATATACAAATATAGATCCCTGTGTGTCTATGTCCACATATATTAAAGAATATGTAAATCGTATATGGATCCGTTTCTATCCAGCAATGAAATATTTAATCTCCTTGTCAGTTTCCTGCCAGTTAGGTTTCAGGTTTCTCCTCTTCAGAGGTTCCTGCCATCATTCTCTTACTTAAGGACTTTCTACTGCACAAAGGTGACACAGCAGCTATAGAAAACCTGGACAGCTGAAAGATTCCTTAACTTACGTGGAAGCCCCTTTCGAATAAAGCATTATTGCCCTTTAAAGCACAGCCTTCGGGGTTCAAGGGAAGATCCCGACATGAAAAAGAGATCTGTTGAATTATCCCATAGCTATGTTATTTTAAGGAGCATGACTTACTTTTAATCATCATGAGCATAGTAACCAAAGACTTCAGGTACAGTGCTTACAACAACTCATAACACTGAAAACTGCCAAATGAATATTGGCATTTCAGTGCGTTTTCCAGTTTCCTTCCTTTTCCACCTAAATCCGTCTTGGGCTGAAATTACTTTGACTGCTTTTCAAAATGAAGATTGTGATATTAGCAATGCCTTAAAGGGCAAAAAGTAAAAACCCCAGGCTAAGAGTCAACCACTAATAAATGTGGTCTAGAAATTTAGTGACCGCTGTCCCTGGGGGTAAGTTTGGGCCAGGCAACTTTGCCTTAAAGATAGCAAAGTGCATTGCCTGTAAATGTGATGACTTTATGGTTGCTGCCTAAATATTCTAAGATCCCCTCCTCTAAAAACTAACTCCCCACAGGAGTGTCATAATATCATATCCATAAAAATAGAAGAAGAAACCAAGACCTACATGTTAGACTCTAGAGAAAATTCTACAACTTCCTCCATTAGGTCCATCTGGCTCTATTTCCTATCCCTTCCACATCCCACAGATACAAACGCAGATCCTCTTGTTCTAGACTGTGGAGAAGATCCTGTTTATTACATACCATAAATATCAGCCGCAATCCCAAAATGATGAGCAAATTAGAGTGTGCTTGTTATAAGTTTGGGCCTTTAAATTCACAGCTGAAGATCATACACGACTCCCCTCCATGTTTCCTCACTCCCCACCCCATATTTTTCCTAGGTCACTGATCTTATAAAGCTGTATTTCAATAACAATAAGTCCCAGGTAATCAGCAGGAGATAGGGGCCCTGAGAGTGACACGAGTTTTAAAATAACCATTAGAGGTCATGAATGCAATAATAGTTTCATAAATCGACTGTGTTTTCTACTACTAACGACTCACAGGTAAAATCTGGGAAGGAGAAGGGGTATAGAATACATTGCTTCTTACAGAGTTACTGTTGCAGGAGTTCATACAGAGGGTGTTTCAGGCACCATGTCCTGCACCTGGCGGCAGAGACGACCCCTACACTGGCTTGGAGACTAGACCTGAGCACTCTCCAGAGCTCAGGGACCCTTGCATTGTCCCTTGGCCTCTGGACAATTGCCGCTCCCTCTAAGTAAAAGGACCTTTGAACTTCTCTCAAGCAATCGCTTGACATCCAACTCAAAAGGGCACAACAATTGCCATGATTTCCAGTTAATCATAAAACATGTAAAATTTCAGCCTTCAGCCGACAGTTGAGCTCCACCACTTCGTGAAATGGCCAAACGTCTTGCTTACCTTCCACCAGGGAGGTGAGTAACGTGACATTTGCTGCCTTGCGCCTGCCCGCGGGTAAATTCAAACCGATTTTTTCTAGCCTTTCTCGCAAAGATCTCCCCCCATTTTTCGATTTGGCTCTGAAATTGCAAGAATTAACATTCTGATTAACCTCAGAGTGTTCCTGAAACAAAGTTTAGACTTAGCAATCTAAAGCCCAGTGGAGCTTGAAGAGGTTTTAACTTGAGGTTAGCACTTTTTTTTTTCTTCCTTTTGGTTATTTGCTGATAGTTTGCTGAGGTTTGCTTAATTTCTGCAATACAGAGCATAAAAAAAAATTGAGTCGTTTACTTTTTTTATCTGGTGAGAAAAAAAAAAGATACCAGATGGGAATAATTAGGGTGTAGGTTGTCGGTCCAGAGAAGGTAGAAGTTGCACATTCACAAGCCCAGCTCTTTCCTTGTCATGGAGCCAGTGAGGTGAGCAGAAACCGGGCAAGTACAACCTTGCCAAAAAAAGGGAAAGAACTGTGTGGTCCAGAAAGGAGAAGGCTTGGCCTGAAACAGATGGGCTTTGAGAGGAAGAGGTCAAGAGTTGCTATAAAATGGAATTGGGTTAAAGGGGGAAGGACACTAATGACGATGGTAATCATAATAACACTAAAACTAGCATTAGAGAGAGTTTAGTTATGTGATAAGCACTTTATATTGATTATCTCACTTAATCGCATAGTAAGTTTCATACACCCACCATCAATGCCCAGGGGTGACTGAAGGAAACTTCCACATTGTGGGGCTCAAAGGACTCAGTTGAAAACTGAACTACAAAGTAGACCAGAGCAAAAGGACTCAAAGTGAGAAAAGTCTGTGGGTCACACCCTTACTGCTTCCCAACAACCCTCCTTTATGTGCTAAGGTCTGAGCAAAACTACAAGAAATAAACAGTTACTCTGACCTCTCTTGCTGTACTGTTCACCCAGCCACTTTTAGGAAAGAAAGGGACTTTCAACCCCCAAGATAGGCTAACTTGAAAAATTCATCTCATGCAATGTCACTTTCATATCAGGGACACTAACCAAAGGGTTCAGGCGTTAGCAGGGACTTTGGGGGAGGCGTTGAATCTTAAGATAAAAGCCACCTCCTTCCCCAGTTTCCACAAGGAGTCTATAAGATTGTCTTTCTCCAATATCGGGGAGCATATGAATGGCCCCAAGGAATAATTGTCAATACTTCTAAAGTGGTGTCATTGTTATTACTGGTGGTGGTACTGAAGAAAGGAAGTCACACAAGTCTAGAACAGAGCTTTACAAACTGCGGGGCACAATGCATTAGTGGGACTGGATCAACTTAGTCGGCCACCAAGTGCACTTTCAAACAAAGTAGAGATCAGAGTACATTGCAGGTACGAAAGGGGTTGCTCCATGAAACTCCTGTTTTAGGAAAGTTTAGGTTGTGGGTCCCATTCAAGGTAGAGAATGCCCCGAAGGGTCCTGGGGATGGGAAGAGGGGCGCCAGGTGCCGGGCAGTGAAAGTGGAAGGTTCCCAGGCCCGCAAGGTGAGCGGAAGGGCGAGGCGGAGCGTGCGGGGGCGCGCGGAGCCCTTGGCGGCCGCTGCACGCACTTAGGGATCCGGTTGCTAGGCAACCGCGCAGTATAAAAAGTGGTTGATACGGGGGTTACCTTCTGAGGACGCCGCCGAGGAGAGACGCATTGAGGCATTCGGGGGGCGACAGCCGTCTCTGAACTTCCCCCACAGTTACTTTGTATTTTGAAGTTGAACTGAGCAGAGACAAACGGCCGGGGACCGAGCAAAACACCTCACCGGTGTTGACAGACATGCCTCCCAGGAAGCCATCTTTATTCATCATCAGAGAAGTCACAGATTTGGGAGGAACCGGAACTAGAGAGGGAGAAAAAAAAAAATGCCATAAAGGTGACCGGGTTTCGATCCTGGTGACCGGCCGATAGAATGTGTCGCTGAGTGCGCAGGGGCGAGGCCACAGGGCAGGAGCCAAGCGGAAAGCTGCAGGAGGAAGTGTTTGTTCCCGTGGTTCTGCGGTGCGTTCAGAGCACTGTGTACAAACAAATGCAAAAGCCATCACTCCTCTGGAAACTTACCCCATGCGTGTGGACATGTGAGAGTCGCTTGCCACTGTCCCGCTCACTACACAAATCAAGAAAAACAAGCAACCCAGAGTTTGGATTGTGCTGTGAAACCTGGCAAATTCGATTCCATCACGTGCTGGCTGTGTGACCTTAAACATCTCACTAAACTTCTCTGAATCTTAGTGTCCTGATCTGTCTCCTGATAATCACATTTGGTGCTGAAGCCTGAAGGTGATCACCCCTATCAATGATATAAAATAGTAATACCAGTGGTCTTTATGGGAACCCTTCCCTCCTCTCCTATTGGACACAAATCTATGGTCATCACTGGCAAGGATCAGGAGGGTGGGCACCATCTGTCACCCTGCCCAAGAACAGCCAAGTAATAACACCATTAAACAGGGGAGTTGGGCCCCAAAGAGCTGCTCATTTCTCTACAGTGGATCCCATTCTTTCCAACATCCTAACAAGAGATTCGTTTAGAAATGAACCCAAATGCTCCTCTCCAGTGAAAGCAATTCTGCGGTGACATGAATTTTGTTTACAAATTAATGTAAAGCACCGGCTGGTGATTGTTTGGAGCAGTTATGATTTACAACAGGTGCCCTGATCAATCAACCAATCACTCTAATTCATGTGAGCAGCGGTCTTGCCTTGCCCCAGTTGTTTCATTTCGGCAAGTAATTGATAACAAACCGCACTCAAGGTATGTTTTATGCGGAAGTTAATAAGAGCTGACAGCTGGTTGCCACTGCTACCCAGGCGCATTCAGTCTCTTCAGCCTGTATTTCTGTTTAATTGTGTTTCAGTGTCATCTGCACCTCAGGAAGAGGCGGGGCTTGATAGAACCAGAGGCTGGCAATGAGCTGGGAATGAGGAACAGTGAAAGGTCAGCCTCCCAGTTCCCTGACAGTCTCCTTCCCTTGGACTTCTATACTGCTGATGCCCATTTTTCTTCTGCAGGCTCTAGAAGCCACTGGGCAGGCAACATCCCCTCCTGGCTTACCCTACACCTTAGCTACTTCCATTGGGATCTGAAGCCCCTCAAGCACTATTTGGTGATCACCAGTCCAGGGGATTTATGCAATGTTTCTGGCATGAAAAAGGATGCTTCCATTCCCCCTCTTTAATAAAGACTCTGTCTCATTCTATAACTCTAGTAAGAGAAAGATATGCTCTTTCTACCATCTGGAGCCTAGAACCCCACACACCAAATAAGTTATATAACCTCCCTTGTCTAGAACAGACTAACCACCCTGAGGGTTCTTGAAACAGCTTATTCTCTCTACCACAGATCCTAGCACTCAGACCTCCATGATTATTTAGAGACTCCTAAAAGCCAGGTAGGTCCCAGATCTTTTATTCACTATGAATTGCATTTGGCCCTCTACAAACACCTGCAGAAAGGGCCTTCTGAGGAAAGTGGATGGGAAGACTGAAGCATTCCCTTTTTCTACTTCTTAGTAGACATTTTGGGATTTCTGGATCTGTCTACAGAGTCTGTCTCAGGGCAGATGAATGATGTTAGGTACCAGAGTGAATCTTCTGCCCTGTCACGGTGGTGGTGGGGAGTTAGAGGGGGCTTTCTTCTTTCTGATTCTCCTGATCATAGTCTCATCAGTGAAGTGCTTCTCATTTGAGAGTGAACCAATGCAAATTTGAAGTGTATTAATTAAATTTGAGTAAAATACGGATTTAAGTGACTTACTTAAAAAAACAGTGATTGGGGTGGGAACACTCTGTCATTTAATTATCTTGCACAATATCCACATCTATTTTAATATGTCTTTTTTTTCACTGCAGTCCTGATTTCTATATTTCGGATTCATATTCAAGCACTATAAGCAAATAATATATAATCATGGTAACCCTGGAAAAACTTTTCCCCAAAATATAGACGGCCCTTTGTAGTTTTAACATGGTATGAACTACAGAAATAAAATGTATTTAAAAATCTCATCTTTGATATTCAGCAACATTTTAAAATGTAAATACTATTTAGAAAGAATATTTTAATGGATTGCCCTACACCTTAGCACCAAGCTGAAAATAGTAAGTTCAGTTCCTATTTCCCAGACTGGAAACTGAGTATCTCCTGAGAACTGGAATTCTACCTGCTTTTCACAGTCCCAGGTGCCAAATCTCTTGAAAACCTAGGTCTATAGAGACATTCTATAACCTGCCCTCTAATTTCACTATTGTTAATTGCCTGATTTACCAGACAAGAGCAATTTCCTTTGGGGAATGTATATCGCTCCCTCCCAAGGGCTGTACGTTTTTGCATATACATTATCACCTAAACATCACCCACCCAGTCAGCTCCCCTCAGCACTCTGCTGTCTAGGGAGAGGGGGAAGAGGAGGGTGGCATTGTTTTTTCCCCTCAAAGACCAAGACTATTAGAGCAGAGGTGCTTCAGGTTATATTTCTATTTTCTAATTTAAGTATCAATCTTGTTTGCACCCTCTACTCTCCCGTCCTCAGGTTCTAAACCTCTCTCCCACCTGGGCCTTTGCACTGGTCCCCTAAACTAGACTCTACATATTTCTTGTCCCTGCGCTTTTCTAAGTCCATCCTACTGTTAGCATCTACCTTCCCCACCACTGTCACACATGCTTTCCTCAGCTGATTAACCCCATATTTTATCCTCTTTGTCTTTTCCCTTCTGCTTTCCTCCAGCTTATCAATAAACCCAGGGAGCAACAGGGCCCAGTTGATTTGTTAGTAATTATGAGTGCACTGCCCTGCTCACGGAACCCAGAGATGACTAAGATAGGTTTAAAGCGACAGCAGGAAATGGTAAGGAAATGGAGCATAGCAAAACTCAGCGTGAAGCTTTCAGTTTTTTACATGTTTACAATTTTCTGTGCATACATTAAAACTGAGAGGTTTTTTTTTCTTCTTCAGTTCTCAGTTGGATAGCATGGCCAACTTCTGGACGTAACACCTCCCAAATTTGCTCCCCTCTCTTTAAACTTGCATTATATGGGAGGAAAAGACAAAAAGGTTTAAAAAACGATCAATATTTCATTACAAGGACTGGAGTTTTATTTAAGAGAGAGGAAGGAAAACTGGAGAAAATCTTATTCATTAGTGGACTCTATAGAGCCCAAGTGTTAATAAGTTAGCTCTTCATCTTTACTCTTTAAACTTAAGTATGAAATCACAGCTTTGAGATCTTTGTGTTTGACTGGAGGCGGGTCCTCTGTGGGTCTGACCTGCTGGTGGGAGAGAAGGAAGAAATGAACCCATCTAATAGATTGAAGCATAAGTCCCTCTGTAATATACCCGGACTTAGATGTGGAAACTACACCAGGAAGCCACAAGAGGTAGAGCATTGCTTGAAATAATTACTTCTTACCAGCAGATCACCACTTTCCTCATACTTGCATTGTTTCTCATCTACCTGTTGGCTAAATGTTATTCCACATGTATATAAAAGCATGGGTATAAATGTGAGCACTGAAATCCTGGAAAGAAAAATAAAAGGATTCCCACAGAGAAAGCTGGAACTTAAAAAAAAAAAAAACAAAAAACGTCCAGTGTTGGCATCCTTTAGGGGCAAAGCCTAAGAGGCTGAGTTAGGTCCCATCACTTACTCGGTGTGTGGGACCTTGAGAAAATCATTTATCTTCTCTCTGTCTCAGTTTCCACACTGGGGGGTGGGGATGGGAGTTGGAGAAGAGTGTCTAACCTTTCCAGCTTTGAAATTCTATGAACTCTGATTACTCCCTGGGTGGCTGGAAACGTAGCTGAGAGTCTCTAGTTGAATAAATACCAGTTGGGATCCAAGTCAGCTCTGGAAATGTGAACCTCTCCATTTCAGAGGAAACTCATACCCTTCTCAAAGGCTCCAACAGATTCTGGGAGCTTTTACCTCCTAGGTCAGAAGGAGGAATCCCAACAGAACCCCTTGTAATTGAAATTGGCAATTTCCATATCTCCCCCCACCCAGAGAAAATCCACACCAATCAAAGTGTTTATGTGGGGAAGGGGCCAGACTAACGGGGGAAAAAAGTGGGAGAGAACAGGAGGTTGGACTGAAACTAACCAAACAAGATATCCCCAGGACCAATGAAAATGCCCCACAGTCACAACATTTGGACCTTGGACTCCAGCCACTCTGGCCTTTCCAAGAAATCCCAGCATCTTTTCTGCTACCCAAGGTGTCAAGCCGATTGCATATTGGCCTCTAATTGCACCAAAAACTTTTTCTGAAAGCCTAGGTGAGCCTCCTTTAGGTTAGGCTGTAGGATGGTGGCAGTGATCATTTACGTGAGCTGGGCACCACCCTGTCCCCTCCCAGCCCAGATTCCTAATCTTAATGGAACTGAGAGTTAAGAATGATTTTTTAATGTCTCGTTGGATTTTTAGACTGTTAATGCACCGAATCCTTCTCATTATTACTTTATTGATTGCTCATGGACCAGCCCCCTTCAAATCGTATTAACCACCCTCTGCCGGTTTAGATTAGGAGAGTTTAAAAAGCACCTTTCATTACTCCCCCCACTCCTGCCATGGAGTTGAGACTCGCTGGCTTAATGGGAGCTCTAATGGGGCAGCTAAGAGGAGAGGGGCCCCGTCCCTGCCGACTGCATTAATAGCTCAAAGGGGGCCAATACAGAAAATTAGCCGTAAACGAGCTCTGGAGATCTTCAAATGAAAGAGCCATTTATCACTCTGGCTACCTTCACTCCACTCGTTTGCTCTCTCTACTGGGAACAACTCATTTCCTCTTAACTAAATTACTTCAGAAATGTCAGCTAAGCCCAGATAGCAAACATAACAAGAGAGCTCACCTACAATCTATGGGGTGATATCAACACGGGTGAAAATTGGACTGGTTAAATTTTAGGAGGGAGACCTTCCATAATTAGAGAGAGAGACACACACACACAGAGACATATATCCTTTATGTCTAAGTCTTCCGCCTTCAATACATCACACAGAAGCAGAGACACCTAAACCTGGGCCAGTTGCTGCCTTTTTTATTAATAAGGTAGAATTTTTAAAATCTCTCTAAAAGCCCATTAGAAAACAAATAAAGCAACCTAGTCCCTTGCCAGTTGTTGAAATTTAGAATATTTAGTTCAGGAAACGTTCTCACCTCCTCTTTTATGAAATTAATCTCTGGGAGTCATCCCTCATAAAGGTGGCGGAGGGGCAAAGACGGGAGACCAGAGGGCAGGGAAGGAGCTAATGAACCCATAACCTTATTTTAAGTGATTCACAGTGATCTAGAAAAGTAAATCAACCACTTATTCCTCTTTTGCCCATGGCTCTCTAAAGATAAAAATATATTAGTATATTTTCATCATGTAATAAAGCAAATACCTGAAATATTAAATAATAGAATTGACCTCACACTTTATATTCATACCACACTCCCTAAATCAATAAAATGACTGGGGTGCCACTTAGATACTTTAAGCTGCACATTTTTTAAAAAGATTCTGGAGGCCATAAAAAGTACTCTGAGTTTCCAGAACAGAACCAGTGACAGTCAGCATTCTCCTCTTCTTATTCCTGGAGATACCCATATACATACGTATTCACATTTCACTGACAAACATATACAAGCCCTGAAACCAAAGCATCCCACATCTAAGAATATTTTCAGCTCCATTTTGTTAGGTAAGCTAAGTTCCAAATATTTTTATTGGCCTGGCTCTTAAGAACATTTCTGATTGGTCATCAGTTGGGCATGCCCTACAGCCAGCCCCAATGCTGTTTCTAGGATACAGAACCCCGAGCTAAGGGGTTCTAGCTTTCCATGAAAAGGGACGGAAACTAAAACAGAAAAGAAACCAAGAAAGCCAATGAAGAAGCGCCTCTCCTCCTCCCCATACCCACCTCCCATCAACCAGCAATTAACCAGAAGAGAAGACCCAGGAGGAAATGGTGAAAGTGAGCTGTCAGCACAGTTGCAAATCAAAGCACGAGCCTGAGTGTCCCAGCAAACCCAAACCCTGGCATTAAAAACCCAAACGATACTATCTAAAGAAGAGCAGAAGAGATGTTTGGAGCAACACTTAAAATAGTTTTGCCCCAAACCCTAGTAGTCTTCTTGGCGATATTACGTTCCAAAGCCAAATGGCATCATTTCAGGGACAGCTTCCGCCTCCCACCTCCCACCTCTCAAAGCGACTTTTTCTGCTTTTGTGAGAGAAGAAAATTGAGAACACCCCACCCTGTTTGGAATCCTTCCTTCACAACCCTCCTATGCTACCGGCTTGATTCTGCGTTACTTTCTGAAGCATCTTTTTCTCTTTTAATTGTTTCTGTGAACGTCCTCTGGCTCAAATGAATCAGAAGTGACTGCAGCTAGGGATTTTTGACACCAAACAGAAGGACAGGCCTTCTCCAGCATCGATAAGAAAGGGTTACAGTAGTTAAAATTGTAGCTCCAAATACCAGTTCTTGTGATAATTAAAGATTGCACTGTTTACACATTCAAACTCCTAAATTTGTGGCATGTGAGTGACATTGGGGCCTTTCGGCAGGCAGCCGTCCTGATCGCCAGGCATTCTCTCTGTGACTGTCAGAGAAGAGGGGGGGAAATTAAGCAGCTGCAATACGCCTGAAATGAGTTATTGTAATTACATTTAATTAGTTTAATTAGTTAATTATTTTGCTTACAGCTGTACAAGAGACTGCAAACATTTGTTAATATCACATGCCCTTTAACAGTATGGGGTAATTCCACAGTCACACTAAATCGTGAATGCATATGTAGGAAGATTGAGAAATGTGCAGAGCCCGGCTCAGCTTCTCAGGAAGAGCATATTTAGCAACACATTTGGCACAATTTTAAAAAATCTGAAGAAACAACTCATAAAACACAGAGAACTGGGAACAAAATTACCACCCCAAAAATCAAATACAAAGGCCAAGAGAGAAGGAGCTACCCCTAATGGCACAGGGTTTAGCTCAACAAACTCCAGTTATCAATGAAATAATTATAGCATATTTTTGAAAGCAGTGTCTCCCAGCCAGTTCCATACGTGATGGTAGTTCAATTATTTACAATGTATCCAGAATTGCTAGCGAAGGTACTGTGAGAAAAATGGCAATAGTTTCTGTTCCTCTGTCTCTCTCATCCGGGTTTCTCCCTGCGGTCCCCCACCCCCATTCCTTCTTCCCAACAGGCATTTTCATCCAGATAGTCGCTGTGCTATGATTGTGAACAAACATTTGTGTCTTATAAAATAATGAAATCCTTCAAAGTGAAAACTCATCATAAAGACATGAACGCAGAGGAAACTTTTCTTACTTTGCGGGGGGAAGAATCCATACCTTTTTTTATGACAGACTGGTCCAATAGATTCATGCTGCTGTTATTGGCATCTTCAACTGACTGTGAATATAAAAACATCACTATTCAAATCGACTGGATATTAAAGAATCACACTTATAAATCATGTCATTCCAAACTGGAGTTGCTGTTATTTCCATTTATATTAATTCACAAAGGGAGGTTTTATTATTATCATTATTACCTCCAAATGGACACAGAAATGAAATACACCCAAATTATAAATTCTTCCAATGGAAGAAGAGGAAAAAGGAAACTGTGAGAGACATCTGGGATGCAGGATTGGTTTAGTTATTACGTTAAACATAGATATTACATAGACACATAAACTTTTATATTATTTGCTCTTATGAGTTGTGAAAATCTGGCAGCACTGAAAGATTTTCACCAATATTAGTCAGAGCAGTTTCTGTTTTCTATGCTATCCCAGTGCATCTTAACCCCAGAGTCATTTTACAAATACATAATAGTTTACGTTATAGGATTTTAATTAAAGTCTGAGCAATTTGGAATGGAATGTGAACAGCAACACATAGCAACACGTCTGCAGGCTGTCAGGACCGCACACCCACTGCAGTTCACACACATCCCTGTGCTGGGTGAGCTTCCTGCTGCAGGACAATCGCTTGGGGGGACCTGCACAATCTGCTCCCCTCCCAACCCTGCCACCTCTGCTACCCAGCAAGAAGCACACCTGTTAGAAAGGCAGTGACTACAGACACACCAACACACACACACACACACACACACACACACACACACACACACGGAGGATCTCCCAGTCAGCACCTGGGTAATGGCAAAGAACATTCACCTTCCTTGCCATTTTCATCCCAGAGAAGGAAAGTTTCAACCCTAGTTGTTGGCTGCATTTCAGAGGGGACATAGCTGTTAGAATGATATTCTTACTGTCAGGATGCACCAGAACAGGGTTCTAGCCGTGCATCCCAGGGCACCCAAAGGCAGTGGATTCCCTCCCCCTACTCCCAAGAGAAAAATCAATGCTAGGCCTTTCTGCCACGAACAGCTGCTTTCCTTGATCCTACGTTTGGACTAATCTGTCACCCACTCTACAGAGGAGTAAAAAGCAAAGGGCTTGTAAGGGGGGTTGTGTTTAGACAGCACTTCCCACCCACTCAAGCTGCATCCCCAGACAGGGCGTGTGTTCATCACAAGGAAGAGACTGTGTACCCCAAACAAGCTGCACATTAGAAACAAGATGATCTAATCATGGAGGGGTCACGTTTATTTGTTTCTTTTCGTTTTTCATAGCCACTCTTCTGTTCTCAGAAAGATGGGGGAAATTGTTATTCTCCGTAAGGACCATTTTCCATGTCGCAACATGCCATCTCCAACTTAAGAAATAGTACAAAGCTTAAAAAAAAAAAGAAAAATGCTTCATGTAACTTGTTCGGAACTCCCAGCAGACCCCACCATGCACACGGGTGCGCACACACACGATTCACGCCTTTTGTGCTCACGTGTCTACAGTGGCGACGTGTCCACGCAGAACAGAAATATTCGCCTGTGTCTGTGGGTGGGCAGACCCGCGATCTCACAGGCCCCGGACCGTGAGCGCCCACACCTCACCCTCACGTCGGTACGTAAATATGTATACACGCCCCATCAGCGACGTGGGGTAGTTGTGGTAGTTAATGAGAAGGCTCTTGTCTGATTTTCTATCTAATTACGGACGCCTGCTGGGTTTTTGTACAGGATATTCACGCAGCATGCTGGCGCTTAATCGTCACAGGGAGGATCGTAAAGATTTAATTAGGACTGCGTGCGGAAGCTCAGAAAAACGACTCCGACTCGTAATTACTAGACTTCTTTAGTTAAAAGTGATATCAGGGTGTGTTTGAGTGTGTGTGTGTGTGTGTGTGTGTGTAAGGGCTTTGACTTAACATCCTTATATGTTTACACTCTTAGGTAGTAAAGGTGATGAGAGGTTAGAGAGCAAAGATCGGAAGAAGGAAAGAGGCGTTCACAGCAACTAAACAAGCTTCAAACTAGGTGTCACCTCACGCTCTCTTTCTCTCTGATGCTGTTTTTCTGACTTTTAAACACTGCCCCCCCTCCCCACGTGCGCGCTCACACACACACACACACATACACAATGGGTAGAATGTAGCATACCCAGAACCCAAGCAGCGATTTGCTGGCTTAATAGCCCCTGTGAGTAAATTGAAATAGAAATTGACAGGGTTTTATAGTTTCATTTAAAAAATTATTAGAAGCATTTGGTTAATTAGCTCTCCTCACTTGCTTCTCTCACGGTCGGGGCGGTGACCCCGCGCGTGTGTCTGGGTCACACAACATCTCCCCTCAGCCCTAGGCCAGGTGAGCACCGCTGGGTGTGAGGGCCCCCGGCCTGGCAGCGCCCTGGGATCTGCCTGATCCGCGGCTGGATTGGGGAGGAGGATCCAGCACACACAACAGGCCCTTGAGATGGAACGAGTGACCGGGGTCCAGGCTGAGGCACCCCTGGTCCCTTTTACAGACAGGTGGGGCGCAGCCCACGCATCCCGTAGCTGCAGAAAACGCGAAACGCCGAAACCGCCATCAGCTCCTGCAACTTCAGCCGCCGTCCCCCACCGCGTTCCAGATTCCTAAGTCAGAAGTGGATCCTCCGGGACTGGACGGAGGAGGCAGAGCCTCTAGATTCGAGGGTCTGGTCCTAGGTCCATCTCTTCCCCTGTCTTTCTTTGTCACCTGCCCCGTGTCACGTCAACCACACCCCGGCCTCAGGACGCCTGTCATCACGGCGGAGACAGAGATCGCCCCAGCCCCTGTAGTTCCCCTCCTGGGACGGGCGCAGAGTGTATCCCCCGCTACCCCTTGCAGTGAGGGTCGACCCGAGAAAGTCCCGAGGGCCTCCCCACCTCGCCAGGCGACCTGCTGGGATGCATCTGGGGAGGAACGGGGAGAGGTGGGGTGGGCGGGGAGCAGCGAGGGCCCTGGGCCTGCGCTGTCTCTGCTCTGGGCTCTGTTCACCTCCCGGGTCTAAGCTCCGGCCACAACTCGGACAAGGGTGCTCTCCCAAATGCACACCGACCTGGCCCTGTTTTTCTCTGGCCCCTTGCATTTGACCAAACACTCCAAACCTCTCACAATTCTCTCTTTCAAAAAACAAAAAACTAAAACCAAAGAAATCTGTTCCCTCTTTGGGCGCAATCCTTGGGTTCCGTCACCTAAACCACTAGGCCTGCCCAGTGCGGTGACACGGCCAGTGCAGCATTGCCAACAGCAATGCTGATGAGTTGATCCACTTTCATTATCTAGCACTTTGAACCGTACCCAGAAAGGTTAATTTAAAAGCTTTTCCCCCCAGACATATATTACCCCAATGCATTAAAAAAAATCCATGATTAAATATTTCCTTTCTCATATGATATTCTGAAATGAGCATTATCTCCAGACAGGGACAGTTAAGCTCGCCTAAATCAACAAAACTACCATTCTTATGACTATGGGTAAATCCAGCCACAACTCAGGTGATTCTGTCATTTTTGGAAATATTAAATAACTGAATTTCCTTTAAAGCAGTAAGCCATCATAGACTACACACAGACAGCATTTAATTCTGTCCCCACATTTTAACTGTTCAAAATACATTTTCTTCAGCAAGGTAAAGAGGAAGGACTCATGCACCCTTTCCCTTTCCCATATTGTTTTCCTTTTCTTCAGAGGTATGTCCATAATGATGCATAATATATACAACCATGCCAATGAGACCGAAGGATCCATTGAATACCTTTCAACCATATGTATCTTTTCTGGAGACCATTTAAATTAGGGAGGAAAAGGAGACCTGCTCAGAATCACCCAGAGAGTTTTTATAAATCATTTCTTTGATGTTTCTTTGTTTAGTTTAACCAAGTATTCTCCACCAAATCAGGCTCCATTGTGTAGATTGCAGATGGGATAGTGAGTGGGTGGGGGAGTGTTTGGAGCCTTTTAAGAAACAAGCATATGATGCCTCTTCAACTGGGGTGGTGACACTGGGGAGAGGGTATTAGTGGAAAGGAGGACTGGAGAGGGATGTGGAGAACATTGCTCCACAGTCGTTTAATGGTCCAAAGGGGGAAAAGAATCTCCAAAATCATATGTGTCCTCATGAATTCCCAAACAGAATTATGACTTTCTGGGTCTCTCCTCACAAATCTTCCATTTCTCAGATAATGACCCTGGAACTCAGTTATCTTGGAAAAGGGTTCAACAGCTTATGGGACATTCAAAGTAAGACCTGGCTTGGACAAAATAGCACGTTTTTCTTCCACTGTGCATTGTCATGCTTAACAAAGTCTTCGCAAATCCAGCAAGAACCTCTATAGAGGTCCCTGCACCTCCATGCTGTAGCTTCAGGCAGTCAGGACTCCACCTGCCATGTCAGGGGGCCCAGGCCCACTACTGGGCCTGCAGAGCGGGTGGGTTGGGGAGGGCACCCAGCTTGCTTGCACGAAGTGCAAGAGAACAGGAAGGAGTCGCATAGCTAAGGCAAGACAAAAACATCTAACCTTGATTCTGATGATCCTAAACTAGCCAAACACACATATATTTTTCTTCTTCATTCTTTCATTTCTAGTGCTTCTGGCTTTCATCATCAGACCTCCAGAAATCGCCACTAGAGAGCCATACACGTATACACACAGTTACGTACGTGGTGTCCAGCTGGTGCTGTTCTAAAGATGAATACTTCCTCCCCTAAAGGAGACACAGCTGTCCCTCCCCGCCTGTCCCCCCACCCGGGGCATTTGTTATTTGTTTACTGTGTGTTTGTTTGTGTGCCGTTACCTGGACATCTTCCATCCCAGGGTGGCCGAGACCGTGCAGCGAGAGGCTGTCACCCATGCCCGCGTCCAGGCCGTGGTGTGCTGAGTGCAGGAGCACGTCCGGCCGGCGGACCGAGTGGTAGTCCCTCCGGGGGTCGAGGCCCGAGAGCTGGGGCAGGGCGGCCCGAGGCTGGGGCAGGAGAGAGCCGGCTTCTGAACCCACTTCTTGCCGCTGTCGTTGCCCCCAGGGGTGCTGCTGGGGCTGGTGCAGGGGGTTCAGGGAGTAGGGGTCGTTGACGTGGGAGTAGGGGTCCTGGCTCTGGTGGTAGGGGAGCGGCTGGTAGGGGGGCGGGAAGTAGGGTGGCTGGAAATCTGACGACGGCGTGTGGGACAGCGGCGGAGCGCTGGAGTAAGGTCCTTGGGACACCGAGCCCAGCTGGGAGAGCCGTGAGCTGTGACTCGGGACGCCATCGTGCCGGTCCTGGGAGCGGAGAGGAGAAAGAGAGAGAGAGAGAAGGGGAGGAAAAAATACAATCGACAAATGGAGAAGCCCGCCTACGGCATCTTCTTCCCGAGATAGGGGACGCAAGAGTCTGAAACTTAGACTCCCAAGCTGATTCAGAGGGTACATGATTTCAGCAATTCCAAATGCGAGGCTTTGGGGGAAAAGGGGGAGAATCACCCACTTAACCAACATCTAAGCCCTCTGTTGGGGTGCAAAACCGGCAAAAGGGGTGAGGGTAAAGTAACAGTGTGTATGGGGGGAGATTCTCAATTCCCTAATGAAAAATCCAGGAGTCTGACATAGGGTATTTGCTTTTCTGGGTGTTTTAAACTATTTTTTCCTAACTCTTCCAGAGGCCCAAAGCATGACAAATAAAACTTCATACTATTGGCTTTGCTGTTACTCTTCCTAACCCAGCCGGCTGACCAGGAGCTCCCCACACGACTTGGTCGTTCCAGGAGACCCAGGAATCTGCCTGATCTGAGTTTCCAGTCCCCCCTCCCTCCCCAAGAGGAATTAAATAATTTATGTAGTGTTTGATTGAAATGGATCTTATTCAAAATCATATCCTGAGTCCCTGTTAAAGTTGAACTGTGGTTCACAGGAGTTTTTCTAAGGTTGCTTTTCTAAATATATCTATTGCTGTCCTACTCCAGGGAGTGAAGATGAAGGACCTGGGGTTGGGGGGGGGGGAAGAACAAATAAAGGCCCAGACAACTTAGCGCTGGTCCTAAGTGGAGTGTTAAACTCAGTGAAAAGGGAGGGGGGAGAGGCGTGTGTGTGTGTGTGTGTGTGTGTGTGTGTGTGTGTGAGTTTCTCCCTCTCCTCTGTGGAAATGCCATGGTATAGTCCCCATGGTTCTTTTTGGAGAAATAGTCACCTAAATTTCCAAACTGCAATGGCAAATAAAAAGTTTTTCTGTTCGGCCTCCCCCCTCTCCCCAGTTGACTCATGGAGCTCAGACGAACACACAATGCAGAGAAGCAGCTGCAGCCTCGTCCAATTATGGTGCTAAATTACCAAGCCAAAGGCGCTCGAAGGAAGACAGAGACGAGAGAGTGAGACGCACGCACAAGAGACAGAGACAGAGAGACAGTAAGAGGAGGGAGCATGCAATTCTGGTACAACGTGAATCCAGACTCACCATGGACGAATAGGTGTGCACTAACATCTGGAAAAAAAAGCCTGGTTACTGCTCAAAATCAAACAATGATTTAAAAAAAAAATCAAGGAGTCCAGCAGAGAAACGAGCTGGACACAGGAGCTGAGCTTGAGGTGTTTCCAGGACAAGCCATCAAAAAAAAAAAAAATTTACCCCCCCACCAAACGAGATTGGCGTCGCCTGTCACACACACACAGAGCTGTTCATCGGTCTCTTGCTGTTTTTTTGGCTTTTTTCTTCTGCGGTTCTTCGGGGCTCCAGAAGCAGTCCTCTTCCGCCCGAAGCTGGGCTCAGACTGCTCGGCCGCCCCTTCCTCCCTCCACTTGCCTACACCTCCTCATAATAATTGATATTCATGACTATTAATATTACACGAGTACTTTAAAGGGAGAATGGAGGACAAATGGAGCGTGAAGCAGCAGCGGGCGCAGAGCTCCCTACTATTGTAAATGACGTTCATTCAGTGGAGAATTACTAGATGTAATCAGACGAGGGGGCTGGCGAAGGCAGACCGGGGAAAAAGTTTAGCAGGAAAGAGGCAGAACTTCAATTAACTGAGCCGGGGACGCGCGTAAAGCAGCCCCTGCTCCCCTGGACCAGGCGGTGAGGGAGAGAGCATCGCTGGGGGCTTGTGCAGAACGTAGGTGTCCTGGTTCCTGGAGAGGGACTTTCCTACTGGGAAGAATGGATCGCCCTAGGTGCTTCCCGTGCAGATTAAAAAACAAAATAAAAAGGCGTTGCCTCCTCCTTTGGTGGGGAGAGCAAAGTAAACCGGTGGGCCCGGTTGTTTACAGTGACGTTTGCAGACTTTCACGCATACTGGAGATTATGCTTATTTATTAAAGGATAGAGGCGAGATGGGGGCTTTCCATCCCTCGTGCAGCCTTTCCCTCTTTAGTGCTCCTGCAGTCTGTGATTTTTTTTTACTTCAATTTAAAATATATGCAGTCAATCTTCAAGTACACTAAACTTATCCTTTCCAGGCAAAGCCAGGGGCAACAGAAAACCTTTTTGGATGTTTCAGGAACCCGTTCAACTGGCCTAACTGCCATTTCTGTTAAAGTTCAACCTTTCTCCCGACTTAAATAGGCTCCTTCCACCGGGCTGCGGGTTCTCCTATATTTTTTGAGCAGAAAAATTAGGCAGATAGGAATACCTGCAGTATTTCTCTCTCTCTCTCTCTCTCTCTCTCTGTGTGTGTGTGTGTGTGTCTCTTCTCTCTCCCTCCCCCTTTATTCTGCCCTCTTTCCCTCTTCCACTCCACCCCTCCCTCTTCCTCCCTCCCTCCCTCCCTCCCTGCTTTCTTCTCTCCCTCCCTCCTTTCCCATTTAGCCAGTCTACCTTCCAGACTCTTAGAACGAGTTTTATCCTGCTTACTTTTCGGAACCCAGTGAAGTCCCTCTCTGTATACACTGAGCTATTTACACCGTGGCCCCTTCCCCGCCCGTGCCAAGCCCACTTCGGGCGCTCACATTCTTTAGGACAGTTCGAGCTCCTTCGACTAGACCATTATCCCGCCTGTTAAAGAAGGAAGAGGAGGCCGAACAGAAACAAACCCCACCAGGCGGAGGCGCGGCTCTTCGTTACAGTCAATACACAACCACAAAGAGGAAAGGAAAGCCCCAATCATCATTCCGCAGAAAGACGAATCTCCTCTCTCCCTCTCATCTCTCTCTCTCTGTCTCTCTGTCTCTCTCTGTCTCTCTCTCTCTCTCTCTCTCTCCCCACACACAAACACACACACACGCACACGCACACGCACACACACCCCAAAATCAGGATTCGGGGCTGGGCAGAGCTGGGAGGCTCCAGGCGCGGGCGCCGGGCGCTGCTTGCGAAACGCAACCGGGCAGCGGCGGGGCGCGCGCGGGCTCCGCGGAGCCGCAGTCTGGGTCGCGGGGCTGGGCCGGCGGCGTCGGGAGGAGCCCGTTTCTAGCGTCCGCAAGGCGGCTCCCCGCCCGGCTTTCAGGAGTCGTCCCGGAGCCGGCGGGATGGCGTGTCCCCCACGGGGTGGGGATCCTCTTTGCGTCCCATCGCGACCGCCTCGTCCGACCGAGCGCTTCCCGCGCCGATCGCCCGAGACTTGGCTTCTCGTCCTCCCTCCCCTCTCCTCCTTCCCCTCCTTCCGACCTCCGACTACTGCCCGCTCGCCAGCTTCTACCTTCCCCGTCCCTTACTCCTCTGCCCCTTTCTCTTCGCCTTCCGACAAGTTTTTCTTTCCCGCTTCCCTCCCTCGACGTCTCCTCGGAATCTTCGCTTCCCCGCTTCCCCTCACGCCTAATTCGGGGACTCCCAGGCTGGTGAGCTCGGAGCGAAGTTCCGCGGTCCTGGGCCGCCGTCCCCTCTCCGCCCGGCAGCCCGGCCCACGCGCAGCCCCGCCGCCCCACCGCTCCGTCGGCGCCCGAGACCCGAGCGCACGGCCGGGGCGCCCCGCCCGCGGGGAGGCAGACTCCCGCCTGGCTTCGGGCAGCATCTCCACCCGAGTCTCCCTGGCCTCAGCGGTAAAGAACGGTGCGCACTCAACCCGGGCAGAAATTTTCGTTAAAAATGCGAAGACATGGGGTGGTTTGGATGCCCCGACTCTCAAAGAAGCAAAACACGAGAAAAAAAGAAAATTAAAAAATTGTCTGCTACGGCTCCTTGGCTTGTGCTGTCTCTGCATCCATCTATCCATCTGTCCGTCTATCCGTCGACCTCCCTCCTTCTATATTTTCGTCCTGTACTGGGATCCGTTGGTTATCGATTTCAAAAATGTTATTGAAAATAAAAATTAAAAGCTCGAATCTGTTACGAAGTAGTCTTGAAAACCTAATTCTCTCCCACACTCAAAACGTGGAGAGCCTCTGCCTTTATCAGTCTCTATTTTCTCTGCCCACATTCACTAGCACCACTGTTCCCCATCAGATCCTAAAGGGGGGGGGCGACGAAGAAAGAAAAATAAAATAACAAAAAAAAGAGAAATCCCCTAAGTTAAAGTAGTCAGATTTCCACCTTAAAGTCCTTTTTCAGAATAGCGAAGTTTCCCCAAGCCAGCTTTTCCAAAAGTTGGAGAAAGCTGAGAAAACCGACCGGAAACCTACGAGCAAATAGCTTAAAAATATAGATGAGTTGGGGGTGTCAAGAAGCTCAAATTCTCTATCTGCAAAGCTCTAAGATGCAACCGGGGGTGTCGGCTCACCTCATAGATATCTTCGTACTTGACATTCTCCACGAGCTTCCAGAGCATGATGGCAGCCGGGTCTCTAGGAGGTGAGTGCATTCATGTGAGGAGCAGATGTCTGGCTTCTCAGGACTCCGCTGTCTGTAATGATCCATCTATAATTGGAAATGGGGGATACACACCAAATCCGACGCTCCTCTCCCATCGCAACTTATATCTGTTGTCTCAAACAATAGGCTGGAGAAGTAAGCCTCAGCTGAGAGAAAAACATTATTACACACACAGGAGTTAGATGCAACCCACAGACATATATATTATAAAAATCATAAACACGTATTTATACCCAGACACCCACATTTAGTTATATAAGCACCCCTGGGTCACACAGAGCCTACAGACTCTAAACACGCATTTAAAGGAGAGAGAGTCGGTCAGTGTGATTAATATAAATATAGACATTTAAAAACCTCTATATTGAAAATGATGAATCATTGTAGCCACTGACTAAAGTCTTTACAGTTCATAAGGAGAAACCAGGGTGCCAACAGTCCCCCATTTTCTATGTAGATTTTTAAAGGGGGACCATTACTGAGATTTTTCAACACAAAAGCTCCTCTTCTTGTTTGTTCAGCAGGAGGGTTTTGAAAGCTGGATTTGGGGATCTTAAGGGTGATCTCTCTGTTTTGATGGCTACACAACTTTTTCTTTTTTTTCACTGTACCTTAGTCACTGTAGAACAAAAAACCCGGCTCACCACAGTGACCATTTCTCATATTTTCCGGTCATTCTGCCCAACAAATTTGAAACCTTAAACACTGTATGAAGCACGCCAGTCTGTACTGCTTATCGTTTAAGGGTTGTTTGTCTGTATTTTCAATGGATTTCATGTGCCATTCTTTTCTTGGCTGAAGTCTCCATTTTATGAAGGTTTTTTTCTTTTCTTTCTTTTTTCAGATGTAGGGAGCAACATACGTGCACAATAACACAATATTAATTTCAAGCCTTCTTTGCAGAGACATGGGACATTTTATATCTGCATCTGCTGTCTAACTTTTAAGTGATTTTAATCATGGAGAGTCAAGAAATGGTCACCTGAACCTCTGGAAGGTTTAAGCAGAATGCTTTTCAAGGAGATATTGAAAAATACTATAGGGTGTGTGGGTTTTTGTTTGTTTTGAGTGTATTTTTTCTTGGTAAGGTGATTTGTATAGCTTTTTTATCCCCCCAAGAAAAGGAAAACATCAACATCAACAAGAACAAAGTTAACCAAACTTCGAAAATGGGCACCCTTTAAGGCACAGGGTTTCCGAATTTCATAATAAAGTGAATACTCGCCTCACTGGCCCCTTTTCCCACCCACCCCCCCTTTTTTCTACTTCCTTCCAGGGTGCGGAAGGATTCCCACAGCCAGAAGGGAAGTCCAGTGAAGGCTCTCTGCCCCTGGGGCAGAAAATAAATGACAGGAGGGAATGAGGAGGGACCAGGGCAATTTGGGGTGGAAGTTATTAAACCTGATAAGAGTGAATCTGCAAAGGGCGATTGTCTGTAAATCTCAGGACTGCTGAGCGCTGCTGTGCGCTCAGAAGAGAGGGCTCCGGCCAACCACGGTGGATATCGATTCGATAAAAACCAGGGAGATGCTTCATATCGTGCAGAATGAAAAATTCTGCAGATTTTTAATTTAATTTTTTCAAAGATAAGCCAAATGAAAGGAACTCGAAGAAGGTGCTTCAGAAGGAACTTCAGAAATAAACCCTTTCTTCATTTCCTGTTTAATTTTTATGTTTTGCCTTTCCTTCCCTCCCTTTCCCTCCTTCCTTTTTCCTCCATCCCGTTTTCCTTCCTCCCTCCCTCCCTCCCTGACTCCCTTCCTTCCTTCCTTTTTCCTTCCTTTCTCCTTTCCTCTGCGTTAAACATTAACAGCTTAAAGTATACAAAATCTGTACAGATTTTCCACTAGGAGCTTGAGCGAAGATTTCCTTCTTTGCTCCCAGAGCTAGTCTGGACATGGGGAGGCATTCTTCCTAATTTTGTTGTGTGGTGGGATTTGAAACGGCTTTTACCCTCCCTTTCCAGAACTAAAATCAGTCCCAGATCAATATTTTGCAAGATAAATATTATAGACTTGGAAACTCAGATTCTCTAGACAGAAATTTATTAATAGGAATAACTGTCTTTTCCTTTTCAAACCAATAACTCCTTTATCTTTTTTACCTAAAGATCATTCCAACCCAAATAAAAAGCACTTGGAAAAAATCTTAATTTTTTTTCCTCTGAATGCTTTTAACACCTTTTTCATCTCTTTTTGGTATATCATTGCTTAGTCTATAATAAATAAACTCTAAAACTTGAAACTAAAAGAAAACCTCAGAGGGATACTTTTATATTAAAAAAACTACTTAAAAATATGTTTTTAGTGTAACTATTTATATAGTCATATATACATAGATATAATTTCAAATTTTCATATGTAATTTTATTTTATGGTGAAATAGATATTTTTAAAATTAGAAACGTCTGGAAATATTTGGTTAACATTTATGTAAATTCTTCAGAAAAACTGAAATCTGGTTTATTAAGAATGAAGCATAAATTTTAAAATATACACACATATAAAGAGCTACTCAAAGAAATACATAAGTACAATTAAAGTCCGAGTCAATTTTTCAACGTGGGCCTTATTCAAAAAATCCTAGAAATTGCAAGGGAAATTTTTCTTAGGGAACCTTCCGTAAGTCATTGAACGGGCAACAGCGCCCTCTGTCGGGATTTTGTGTAAGCAAATCCTGCACGGCCGCTCGATTTTTTTTTTCTTCTCCAGCGATTTCTTCCAGTTCTTGAAAACCTTTTGTTGCTTAAGAGCATTTTAAAAGCTCAATTTTTATCATATCTACTAATTTTAGAAATAAGTGTTTAAGCATCTATAAAGTTCAAGTGCCTCAAAAAATGTACAAATAAAATCTCATTCTTTACTAAGAAAAATTTCCTAACTTGAGCCAGCTTCTCTCGCTCTTAACTTTCTATTGCATTTCGCTTTAACCTTCCAATCAACGTGAGGTAAGGAAAGATTTCCGCAAGGACTCAATAAATGCAAAACAAAATAAAGGCAAAGGCAAAAAACCCTCTGATTTTGAAGGGAAGATAAACGAGCAAAATATGTATTTTCATCATCATTTCATTTTCCACTTCGTCTTGTCCTATGCCCATTTTTTTGTTTTGTTTTTGTTTTTTCACGGGTGGCACAGGCTTGCCTAAATAGAAGCGTACTGGAGACATCCCAAGTAGTTATATTCGTATTTTCCCCTCTCACTTATATTTATTTCACTTATATTTATAATAGTAGACAGGCGAGTTAGTAATACCCCCCTTTTCTCAGCCTCGGATAGAGGGACTAATTTTCCGATAAATGTAGGAGCCACTGATGGAGGTGAATGCACCTAGCTTGGAGCCCTCTGCTGGCGGTTTTCCGAATAAGTTTCTAACTTTTTTTTTTTTATTTCACCGAAAAATATCATTATATTAAATCAAGGTCATCTGTTAGCACTCTCTTGTCTCACTTCTTGTCTCACTTCTTCTTTCTTCTAAAAAAAATCTAATTAAGAATTGTCTAAAGTTCTCAGACTTCCTTCCTTCCTCCCCCTATTCCTTACCTTGGCACCTGTGAGTTAAGGCTTCATGAGCTCTCTCCCTCTGCGGCTGCCTGATGGACTGCCTTTTCTTTTACACAATACACGGTCCGCCTGGATTTCCCTTTTCCGTCTTCCTAAGACACACAAATAATAAAATGGTAAACACCAAGACTTAGGATTATTGTGACAGTCTGGACCCCGACCCCTCTCATTATGGGCGGTCGTGTAAGCTATTTAATAGCCAGGGTACTGAGCTATAAGATGGGAATGTAGGTGAGAATTTGTTACAGCAACACAGTATGAAAGGAATCTATTCCATACTGTCACTTTGTAAAACAATTTAATTTCCCCTCATCAACTCAAGACACGAGCTGCGTGTCAAGAAAGTGAAGGCTTCCATCAGCTAGGGACGTGCATAATTTCCTGTTTAGAAAGTGCCTGTGGGAACCCCAGCCTAGATCTCCCGACTATGTACTGGCTCAGCAGTTTGCCCACGGCGCTGTGATACTGTCTTTCTTTCTTCTTTCCTTCCTCCCTCTCTCCCTCCCTTCCTTATTTCCTTCCTCCTTCCGAAATGAAGAAGACAGTATTTTTGGACAATTACTTTTTTCCAGAGTTATTTTTGTCCTGGATTCATAAACAGGCAAAGGAAGAGAGACGAGAGAGCACTGACTTGCGACATACCAAGATGCTACCTCCACCTCTTACTCCTCACGAAGCATGATCGTCCACCAAGTCGATTAATAAGCTGTGACAGGAGCACGTTTCATTGCGGTAGTCTAACTCTAGTTTTCTACCGTGTTTCTATCTGGAAGCTTTCTCATGATCATATTTTGGGGGAATCTTGATTGTGTATTTTTAACATCAATTTGGAAAAATTACTGTTGAATGTGTGAAACTACAATTCGAACCCCTGCCCTTAGATTTATAGGGCTTTGCTACCACATAGGTGTCAGCGATCTGGGTATGAGACAACAAAATAAGAGGGACTAATGTTTGCATAAGGGGGTTTTAAAAAAATTAAACGGGGGTAGAATGATCTCCAGAACGACTCTTCGTGATCTTACAGATTGAGGCAAACATTGAAAAGGAAATAGCATTTCTTACTTTAACCACAATATTTAATCAAGGGCATAATTGTGAATTTTTAAAGTGAAATCCCTTGTGAGAATGAAAAGCAGTGTGACTATGGAAACTTCTACTTGGTCTTGAACTTTGAGGAGAAGTAATTTTATTGCATATTTTAGATGTTCTGAAGTCCTCAGGCTTTTCTGTTTACTTGTGGGGCTGTGAAGTTGCCAAAGGGACAGTTTTCAAATTTCTATCTGCTGGAGATAAAGAGGTTAAGGAATGGAAGATGGGGGTGGGGGGCGGGGGCTGGGCTTGGAGTAGATGGTGCAAACGGCCAGAGAACAATTGTTTCCAATACCAATGGATACTTCACATACACAATGTGAGAGGTGCTCATTTTCCCTGGCGTGACCGATGCAGGAGGACAGGT